GGGGCACATCTTACACTGTAACCCAGGACAGTAAGATATCTGGTCAGTAGTAATTATGTCTGTAGCAGGCACGCAGGTTTTGATTGGGTTTTGGCCGATGAAAGTGAATTAAAAAAAATACTCTCGACAATGCCAGGATATTAATGACTAAGATACTGTAGTTGCTAATGATCTTAAAACTTGAATGACTGAAGAAAGACACATGATCAGCAACTTGTGGCAAGGCATTAAGCAAGGAAGCCGCAAACTGGGAGTGAAGCAAGATGAAAAAAATCAGGTAGCCCCAAAACCCAGAGATCCAATCCACTGAGATCTTGCACTACTTGTGTCAGTGGATTTTAACACACCTCTAATTCCCTGCCTGAGCGACTTCTCAGTAGGAGCAGCTTCTTGGTCAGGTTCCTTCTTCTGGTCACCACCCTCCCACAGACATAATTAGTGATTTGTTTTGCTGCCTGCTTTTTGTCTTAGTCGTCCTAATGCAAGGGGATTAGGAAACAATCCACAGTTGGTTCGGGCAGGACAGTTTACAAACACAAGGGACCAAATAAGCACAGTGTTATCTGCAGATTATATATTTGATGTGGGTTTGACTTCTAGAACCAGAAAACCTCATGAAGGCCAGGTCAGAAGCAGATGTGCGAGGGGTTTCTTGAAACCCTTAATGGTAGAAAAAGAGAGTATATCTCAGGCTTACTGTTCTGAAGAGAGGAAGCTGAATGCCTTTCGTCTTCCACAGAGGGTTATATCAGAAGGAACTGGATGAATGGGACATATCAAATCCATGGTACTAAGGAAAAGGCAGAGGCTGGAAAATGCTTTTAATGAATTTTTTTTTTCTTGTTCAAATGTCTCTTCTGTAATTCCTGGATTATTATAATCTTCCATGCTTTCATTCTTCATGTAGTAGCCTGATAGACAGGCTTAGCACAAATTTACAAAACACCTGGTGGTAGCGTGCATATATATGAGGAGGATGAGACTGTCCTGTTTAGTACAGGGCAGGGTGCTGAAGGAAAGTACTAAGAGAAAGAGCCTGGAAAGTCTTGCTGTCTGAATGATGTCTCTGCCTGCTGGATTCTCAGGTTTTGCGCTCTCTCTTCCAGATGATGTCCCCATACGAACTTGGTTCCCAAAAGAGAACCTCTTCAGTTTTCAAACTGCTACTACAACTATGCAAGCGTAAGTGAAACCACTGCTGTACCTTTTACTGTGTATCTTTAAGTTCGTGGCCCACTCAAAGCTGTATCTGAGAGCCTGGAGCAATCGAGTTGTGTGTTTGGCACTGCAGTCTGGGGGTGAGAGAGAACCTTGTCTCTTATTAATTTGTTTTTTACACTTATTAGTTATCTTTTCTGCTACTCCCACTTGTTTGGTTTTACTTTCTTTAACTCTTTGGGCTACGCAGCTCTTCTCTGCTTCCCTTATTTTCTCTGTGACGCTGGCTGCCTCTGCAGAGTGAGGGTCATGTGGGAGCACCAGCTGAGACCCTCCACCACTTGCTTCTGCTGCAGGCACTGCCCCGAGGAAACATTATTCCAGGTTTGCCCTGCAAAGACGTGTGTCTCTATAGGGTGAGGTGTAGCCCTATAGCTTCTCTGCTGGTCTGGTCATTTGAAGAATCCCTCCAAAGTGTGAATGGATCTGAGTTAGGAACAGCCTTTCCCTCCATATTCCGCACAGGTTTTGGTTCCTCTGGTTGCTGTGCATTGGGAGGAGGCAGTTCTCAAAGGACTGAAGAGAATAAGAGAAGCCTCCTTTCCAGGTTGTACCCAGCTTGTCAGGAAATGCTGTCTTCCTGGTTTCAAGTATTTCCTACGTGGCTGGAAAGCCAAGGCAAGCAGTGAAGGAAATGAGACACTGTTCTGCCTTCTAAGGCCCTTCCCTAGCCTTCTCGCCTTTTTCCTGTGTCCTTTTCCCAATGTCTGTCACTCTCAGCTCTGCTGCTCTCTTTATTTCTCCTTGTCTAATCTGGTGTCCTTTTTGTAATCTGTTTCTCTGCCACTTCTTCTTTCCTTCATAACTTTTCCCTTCCCAAATTCCGAAAAGAGGCTGATTGTTGATCCTGGTGTTACCCAGATGGGATCAGACCTGTAAGGACTGATGCAGGGAGGGCTGGATCCAGAACTGGGGAGAGGGGTAGCTGCTGAGATATTGGAAAGGATCTGTATTCCCCCGAAAAAAAACACTTGTAGCATCACAGAATGGGTTGGAAAGGGTCTTAAAGGTCATCTAGTCCAACCCCCCTGCCCTGGGCAGGGACACCTCCCACCAGACCAGGTCGCTCCCAGCCCCATCCAGCCTGGCCTTGAGCACTGCCAGGGAGGGGGCAGCCACAGCTTCTCTGGGCAGCCTGTGCCAAGGCCTCACCACCTTTACAGGGAAGTATTTCTTCCTTGCATCTGATCTAAGTGTACCCTCTTTCAGTTTAAAGCCATTACCTCTCGTCCTGTCACTACCCTCCCTGATCAAGAGCCCCTCCCCACCTCTCCTGTAGCCCCCTTTAGGTACTGAAAGCCCGCTTTAAAGTCTCCCCAGAGCCTTCTCTTCTCCAGGCTGAACAACCCCAACTCTCCCAGCCTGTCCTCACAGGGGAGGTCCTCCAGCCCCCTGAGCATCGTCATGACCTCCTCTGAACCCCCTCAAGCAGGTCCATGTCCTTCTTGTGCTGGGGATCCCAGAGCTGGATGCAGCCCTGCAGGTGGGGTCTGACCAGAGCAGAGCAGAGGGGCAGAATCCCCTCCCTCGCCCT